TCTGTTTTCCTCTCTCTCTCTCTCTCTCTCTCTCTCTCTCTCTCTCTCTCTCTCTCTCTCTCTCTCTCTCTCTCTCCATCCTGTCAGCTAGTTGCTGGCTCTACCTCTTGACCCAAGGTTGATTTTATTTAATTAATTCAATCTTTGGGTTCACGGTGTGGTCAAATATCCTGCAACAAAAACTAGAGACCTGAGTTAGCCTTACCCAACAGATAACAAGATCAGCTAATAATTTGTGGTCTTGGTGAGGAGGCAAGGAAAAGCAACATTTTTAATCATTGTGATGAGAAGGGCGAGTTTTCCCAGAGATATCCGTACTTGTCTACCCTCAATGCACTCTGGGCATCCTCAGGAAGAGGATGTCTGGGACCCAGATGGTGACTTCCACCTGTCAACCTCAATGTGCACTGGGCATCCTCAGGAAGAGGGTGTCTGAGACCCAGACAATGACCTCTCACTGTCTACCCTCCAGATGTGCTGGGTGCTGGCGGTGGGGGGTCTGCATCACTGAACATCGACTACAGCCACACATACTCTCTAGGATCTCTTTAGCCAATGGAAACTCCAGCACACCTGTAGCTGAGACCAGAGCCAGCAGTGGACAAAATGGGACATCCTACAGAATCCAAGAGCCCAACCCTGAGGTCACATGGACTGGGGTAGGAAACCAGGAGGGAAAACCTCTAGCTGATATTTGTCATGCCACTGAGAAACATCACCACCAAGAAGGACAGCAAGGTCCCATCAGGCCCCCCTCATGGGTGGTGTATTTGTTAGGATTCTAGAGGAACAGAATTGATAAGACGAATGTGTGTGTGTACACACATGTGCATAGTTATATATGTATACATATATAGTCATATAATATATAACTAATATACAGTATGTAAGTATACTTATATAGATAAAATGGGAGCCCTGCTCAGCAGGCCAGGCCATGTTTCCAGCTGTGAAACTCCCACTAGTATGAGCACCTTGAGGTTCCACTTACTTCTGCCACAGAGTGACCCACAAACTGAAAGCAAGTCTTCGGGTACGAGCAAATTGCTGATGCATGGGATGAGGGGTGGGAGAGGCAGGAAACATGCACCTCCAAACAGCCTTCAGGGTCATGCGTCAGGGCTGGTGTGGCCTCTGGGTGTCCTGGATCCTCTCGTGTCCTGGCTCAGGGAAGCAGGATGCAGCCTGGGTGCCCAGCCCTGTGACGTGTCTGCTGAGGAGTTAGAGGGGCTCCTCTGGATTGGAATGGTGGTGTGTGAAGGGAGAAGATGAGGGTGTCTGTCATTCTGTACATGTTTAAAGCTCTGAATTGTGCCTCTTCCTCCTTGTAAGTCGCTGACACACCTTCCAGATCCTCAAGTCATCACATCTTTCCCGAGTCCCCTTCTCCTGGGACTTGTAGAGGTTTGGTCTGAGAAACCAGAGCTCCCTGTTCTGAGCAGAAGCAAGACCCTGCTGAATACACGGCTTACAGTTCCACCCAGTACTCTGCTGGGGAATGTATAGAGTTCAGCCTCCTTTGTGAGAGTCTGCCATTGCAGAAGACCTTCACCAAGTCCACCAAAGAGCACATGGGTCCACAGCAGAGCCTGCGTGTCTCAACCACGGCCAGGCCTTCAGTTGGTTGGCATGAGCAAGCTGCTGCCCAGGTGTCTGTGGTCAGAGCTCACCCCAGCAATCTATAAGACACGCTGCTTCTGCAGGTACGCGGTCTCTGCTCAGACGGAGAATCACAATGCGTGGTAACATCTACAAAATGAAAAGCGCGAAAAACTGCCGCTCTGCATACTCTCCAGTGCAAATCATGCTCCCAAAGACACAGCATTTTATTGCATTTAATTACAAGAGAAAAGTAACACTTCTCTGCCAGCAAGATTCCTAGAGGACACATTCAGAAAGCCACCCCCCCACACACAGGCTACACAAACCCACCCACTTACTCAAGGCCATATGCACACACCCCTTCATACTTAGACGCCCCGGGGATACTCACAATGATTCAACGGTGAGTACGGATTTACAGGCAGACTGACTCATTCATACGCATACACACACATACAGGAACACTCATTTGTGAGACTATGTGCGCCATCCACTCATGTACACACAAACCCACATGTGTTTATGTTTACACACATTAACATACTCTATCCACAGTGCCCATTCATTTGTACAAACATGCTCTCACACTCATGGGTGCACATGTATGCACACACTTATTTGCAAACACACAAAGTGAGAGTATGCCCACACACTTTAGCTTGCTAATGGCTAACAGGGAGCAGCTGCCTTTTATCTCCAATGGCAAGGTATGGTTGCGCTCATCAGAAAATTGCACACTGTCAGCTGCACAGGTCAAATACTCCAAATTCCCTCCCTTGGCCCACTTCTGAGGAAGTGACAGGACAGAAGTCAGCACCAAATAAAGTTGAACCAAGCTGAGCAGGAGCAAGGGTGGTCCACACCACAGTCACAGAAGGGAAAGTCGGTTGCACTCTCCAGAAGAACCTGTCAATGGTGCAGACAGGCATTTGCATGGTGACAACGGAAGCCATCACTTGAAGTCACTTCCTCCATCCACTCTTGATGACTAAGGCAAGAAAGCAGCTACTTCTCCACCTCCTGCAGTTCTCTCAGAGTGGCCTGCAGGAGCCACCGAAGCCTCCAGAACACGCCGGAGGATGCAGTCCTGGAGTTCCCAGAGGGACCCTCTTGGTGAGCACACTCCTGAACAGCCTGCTGTAGCTGCAGTCGAAGCTGGGGGGAGACGGCGGGGCTCCTGTGAGTCGAGGAGAACCAGCGGCGAAATATTTTATCACAGATGACCTGAGGGCAAAGTGAGAAGTTAATTTGGGGAAATAAGCCATTCTTGGCTTCCCCTACGTCTCAAGGACACTCTTTCCTTGCCCCTTTGGGGAAGACTCACAGAGAGAGCCTTACCATCGAGCATGAGTTTCCTTCCTAAGCCTTCAACCACTCAGCACTGGGAACAGGGTATGTCTGAAAGCACAGACGGTGTCCTCCCTCTGAAGCAGAAAATTCCATTTCCAGCCCCAAAGCAGAGGAAGAAAATCCTGAGTGATACTTTAAAAAGAATTAAAAGTATTTCCAAAGAAAAGAGCAGAGCCAAGTCGGGCAAGGAGTTGGCCCCTGGCAAGGCAGAGAGCAGAGGTGCCTGTTCTGTCCCTCACCTAGATGGACTGCCCCGCTCTCAGGAGATAAAATAGTAATAACTGCCCATAGCAGCATCCTGAGAGTCAGCAGGTCATTAGTGGAGAGGGGCATGCAAATGTGAACTTCCATCTTTGTAGTCCTTGGACACCCACGGGAAATATACATCTCAGGGGGAAGCTGTGCAGGCACAAGGCCATGCAAGAAGCTTCAAACTGCTTTACTTTAGGGAAAGAAGAAAAGCAGCCACTGTTTCATAGGCTAATAGGCCATGAAATTCCGTGAAGACAAGAGCTCTTCAGACTCCCCACACATTATCTGCCAACAGGTTTCGAGGTCCCACAACCCCACAATGGGGAGCAGTAACCAGGAGCTGCACAGAGAAATTGATCCCCAACCCCACAGTGGGGAGCACTGCCTGGGAGCTGCACAGAGAACTTGGTCCCCAAGCCCACAGTGGGGAGCACTGCCTGGGAGCCACACTGAGGATGTGCCTAACTTTCCTTGACCAGGCTTTCTGTCCACTTCATTTACCAAACACCTTTATACAAAGCAAGTTTCGGGGCAGCCAGGACTGTTACACAGACAAACCTTGTCTCAAAAACCAAAGGTGACATTTGAAACAGTGGTTTTATTTCTCTTTTGACTAGAAATCACCCTTTACCTGTGCAAAATTTTAAATTTCTAGAAAGACATGCCATACATAGTATCAATCCTCTACAGTAGCGTCGTAGGCTCGTAGGCAGGAGCTGCCAAGTAACAAGTTAACCCCAACGCTGGGCTCCTCTTAGAGGACCTGGAACCTCTGAATGTTCTCAGAAACTGAATCTGACCTGGTCAGACATGTAAATGGATTACATGTTAAATGTGCCTCAAAGGCCCTGTGCCTCCAGCTGGTGGTGCTATCCGAATGTGTCAGGGTCGTGAAGAGGTGTGAATGGGCGAGGTCACTGGTGTGTATCCTGGGATGGAGGTTTCTTTGCTTCTCTACCTCCATGAACTGAACAGCTGTCCTTTGCCACACGCCCCAGCCAGGATGCTGTACCCACCACTGACACAAAAAGCAAAGGAGTCAGCGGAACATAGACCAAAACCTCTGGAACCATGATCCAAAGTGAAATTTCTCCATGATAAGCTGATTGGATCAAGTGTTGTGTCACAGTGGCTGAACACTGGCTAACACGAGAAAGAACATCTGTCTTTCCAATAGAATACTACTTAGTAAACATGAGATCATATTATAAATGCTGATTTATAACCTGAATTTTTCTGTGTGGTGCTCTATACTACATCACAAAGAAAGCGCATTTCACCTCTGGATCTATATTCAAAGACAATAGTGATGTCCCGGGATGCATGTGTCCACATTCAATCCAGAGCCATGGTGTAGCCACGGTGGGGACACTCATCTAACTCCCTGAAGCTTCAACTGCTAATTAATAGCATCTTAGTGACTATTCCCAACTGGCAAAAGCATGTCATTGTTGAGTTTTAATTAGCATAATTTTAATTAGTCTTTAAATGATGAGATGAAATGATTTCCTAACCCCTACAGTTGACTGAATTTTGTCATCTGCATCTGTCCTTTGGGCCAGTTTTCTTTGGTTCAAAGTTCCACTTGCTTCTCAATGAATCTGTAAGAGCCCTCTGTGTCCTAAGGAAACTTGGTGCCTCTCTCTTTGTTCAAATTTATTTATTTAACATGTGCAGTGTGTGTGTCTGGGTGGTGTGTGTGTGTGTGTGTGTGTATGTGTGTCTGGATGGTGTGTGTGTGTGCTTGTGCCCGTGTGTGTGTGTGTGTGTCTGTGCGTGCCTGTGTGTGTGTATGTGTGTCTGGATGGTATGTGTGCGTGTGCCTGTGTGTGTGCGTGTGTGTGCCTGTGTGTGTGTGTATGTGTGTCTGGATGGTGTGTGTGTGTGCGTGTGCCTGTGTGTGTGTGTGCGTGTGTGCCTCTGTGTGTGTGTGTGTGTGTCAGGATGATGCGTGTGTGTGCACACACGCTAGTGTGTCTGTGTAGGTCAGAGGAGTCAATTCTCTCTACGGCATTAATTCCTGGAGTCAAAACCAGAGTTGGGCTTGACGAGTGACATTACCCACAGTAATGTTTCTAGTTTCTAGTCTCTAGTTTCTCTTCACGCAAGACTTGTGGATGAGATCAAAGATGATGTGGACTCAGATGAAAACCATATTGTCTACATGGCTCAAAGACGGGGGTATCCCAGACCCATCATGGGGTAACTCCACATGGAAGGGGCTGGGATGGCGCCCCAAAAGCCCACACCATCAATGAACCTTCTGAAAGTGGAAGCAGCCAGTAATTTTGGCCCTTGAATCAGCAGTCTGTGTAGACTATGGTGGTAAAACTGGGGTTTTGCCTGGCCTCGGCGGATCCACCGGATTGATAGCACCGCTGCCCAGGACCCTCTTTTGTGGCATGAAAGCCCACAACGTGCTTTCCTGAGCAGCTGGCCTAAACTGTCTTTCCTCAGCTCAGGGTTCCATCAAACCCCCACCCTGAGCACTGGGGAGGATGGACTAGGGGTGAGGAGAAGGGAGTGATAGAATTAGTGGGGAGAATTTATTAGGCAAGGGCACGGAAAAGACACTAGATGTGGCAGGTGGCCGTGAGGTAATCCCCTGTGGAAGCAGTTTGGACATCCCTCTGGTTACACTCAGCACCTGGGCATCTGGGGGCCCAAGTTCACACACACCCTTCTGAAAGCATCTGATGAGGGTAGAAGGGGGCAATCCTGTCCAAGAGAAGCGATCGTTCCCAGCTGATGGGATTGGGGTCGCCTACCTGCAGGTTGCTGTTCACACGCTGGGCTCCACACCTGTTCACTCTCAGATCACACTTGGAGAAACAGTCAAAGAAGTTGCAGTCTTCGTCTCCTGTGCAGTTTTGCTCGAGGATTTCCCTCATCTTAGGCTCAAAGAACGCCATGTCTACGTCGATGGCTACCACCTGAAATCAGAGGCACGTGGCAATAGTGATAGCGTGGACGGCAAACAGATAATAGCAGGGCCCGGTAGGAGAACACGTTTCTGGCTCTTTTCCCGTCCTGTGACCACGATGTCAGGAGACCACGCCCAGGCCACGCCCTGGGAAACAGCTCATTTCCCCAGAGCATCCACAAACTTGCTTGGCACAAGTTAGTATCATGGATCATGTCCCAAAGTTTTACTGTAAAAGATCCTTTGATGTCACTAACTTGAGCCTAGGATTTGGGACTGTGACCATCCTTGTCACCTTCGTCTTTGGACCTTCCCTGGATTTTAAATGTAGAATATGCACAATAACTTAAAATGAATTTTCTTTCTGATGCTTTCTTAAAGTTTGTTTTTATTTGCACTTATGTGTATGTGTGCACTTGTGTGCATGAATGTGTCAAGTGTGTGCAAGTATCTGTGGGGCTGAAAGTGGACAAGGCTCTCCTGGAGCTGGAGCTGGGTTACAGGTGGTTGTAAGTCACCAGGCCTGGGTTCTGGGAACCAAATCAGGAATCCAGAAGGCTGCTCTGTTGATAAAACATCTAGTACCCAAGTCAACTGAGAGGTCAGATGAGCCATGGGAAAACCACAACTGACATTAGAATCCGCGTTAGAATCTGTATACACCCAGAGAGAACAACATCAACCACTAATTCCACTGTCAAAGTAAGGACTTGGGGACTGTGGAATTTCAGATTTATCCTTCTGGCTTCCAAAAAAACAGGCTTCAGAAAAATGAAGAAGAAGAAGAAGAAGAAGAGGAGGAGGAGGAGGAGGAGGAGGAGGAGGAGGAGGAGGAGGAGGAGGAGGAGGAAAAACTTACAAATTATGCAGAATTTCCTTCACCACCTGGATCCCCCCCCAAAAAATGAAAACTCAAATCTGCTAGAATCTAGAGCTTGCCCAAGTTCAACAGCTAATAGCTCGAGATAAGTCGAGATAAGAAATCAGAACAAAATGTGTCATCTTTGATGGAACTGGCATCCCATAAGCCCCCACAGGCCATTGTGAAGATGTGAGCCCTCCCCCCCTCGTAGTATCTCAGAGAGGGCTCTTTTGCTGGTTGTCATTTGGCTTCAGAAGGCTTGTTCATTGATTCTACTTTCCTTTTCTTTTCCCCGTAGGATCGATGCTGGGAGTGGACTGGCTTCCCGGGGATTATCAGGAAGGACATCAATTATTTTAAAATGTGCGCAGAATAATGAGAACAGAGCACAGAAAACTTCTCCCTCTTCAGTGATCTTCGCCTAGTAATGAACTCAGGCATGGCAAACAATTCGTTGCTGTTGTTTGTTTTGAGGGAGTTGATGTTTTTCTTGGTTTTTAATAATATCTTTTCATCTAGTCTTTGATGATTTCATACATATCTACTATGTGTCTTGATCATATCTACCCCCACTTCTCCCTTCCTACATGACTACACACACACACACACACAGAGAGAGAGAGAGAGAGAGAGAGAGAGACACGCATGCACACATCCCGTCCTTTTGTTTCTATTTGGGGGGAGACACTGGGGAGCCCAGGGGCAGCACAGAAGCCAGTAAGCATTCTACCACTGAGCCACACCCCTAACCCTAATTAAAAGACGGTGTTTTTCTTTTTCTTTTTCCTTTGGCAATGCTAAGAATCGAACCCAGGACTTTGTGCATGCCAGGTTGGGCTCTACCACTGAGCTACATCCCAAGCCTATACAATTTATCAATCTTTCCTGTCTCATTATTTGGTCAAAATTAATAACTAATCTCATCACTCAGCTTGGTTAGAAACACTAAAAATTAACAAGGACTGGGGGCCGGAGAGATGGCTTGTCAGAGGACCCAGGTTTGGTTCCTAGCATCCACATAGCTGGCTCACAAACATCCATAAGTTCAGTTTCAGGGAACCTGGTGCCTCCTTCTTCCCTCTATAGGCACCAGGCACACATGGTTCACACACATACATGCAGGCAAAACACTCATATACATAAAATAAACAGCAAAAGATTTTAAGTGGTACACAGAAATATATCAGGCAAAACACCCATGCACATAAAATAATAAAATAACTTATTTAATTAATTAGAGCGATGCTAATGAACCTATTGTCTTTATAATTTATTGTTAGGGCAAGGACCATTCTCTCTTAATTTCTGGCACTCTCCCCAGTCCCTGCGCGCCTCAGCCCCATTTGTAACACTGTTCCTCTCATCTCCCGGTGACAGTCAGATTTATATTTTAATGTATAGTCTGTAGCCGAGAATGAATTGCAGCTCCTGTGTCCCTACAGTAAGAACAGCAACAAAACAAACAGGAAACCTTTCCTAATATTTCTCAACAACAGGAGAATCAGAGACTTTAGCCTGCGCAAAATGACCCAAGTGGTACCCTCTACTCAAACCTCCTCTGGGCAGCAGACTGGAAACATGGTGGCAACCCTCTCAGGAGCAGGAACGTCTCACCTGCTTGAAAGACTGCCCGTGTGTTTTGGGGTCACCTTCACTTCCCAGCTGTTCATTTGCAAGTGTTTCATAAAGCCTGAGGTTCTGCACTGGGAGACTTGGGATCTTCCTTTCTTCTGCCTCGGGGGTTAGATCCCCTCCCTCTCCTCAGGGCAGGCTTCAGCCAGGGCTCAAGAACAGAATCCACCTTCTGGAAGTCAGAGCAGGGGTTCTCAAACTCGAACACAGACCAGAGCCACCAAGAAGGTGCCTGGTCCATTAACTTGCTTGCATATTTTTGAGACAGCATCTCATCATGTAGCCTGGACTGGCCTTGAACTTACCATTTTCCTGTTGGCCTTTCTGAGTATTAGATTGGATCACAGGTATGGCGTCAGCTGTCTCCAGAGTCTCAGACTCAGTAAGTCTGAGGCACAGTGTGAGAATTTATATTACGGGGCTGGTAAAATGGCTGAACAGGTAAAGACCCTTGTCACCAAACCTAGGACCTGAATTCAACCTGCATGGTACTGAGGACAGAACTGACTCCCATCAGTTAACATGGGTGCATATGCTGTGATAGTCACGACTTCCACACACAAAATAAGTATGTAAATGCAACAGAAAAATGGAATTTGCATTGCTAGCAAGTTCTCTCATGATGAGGATAACCAGTAATAAGTCCTCAGGGAGGAGGGGGACTCTGGTGACAATGCTGAGGAGCTCCTCCCTCCCTCCCACTGTGGATCACAAATGGACCCAACACTGTTCTCTCTCACAGGTAATCATAACTGTCAAGGTCTCAGGGGGGAAATGGCTAGGCCATGCCCAGAGGACAACTTTCCATATCCCACTGTCCCTACAACTCAGGTGGCTATGTGCCCCATCTCAGGTGCCTGTGTCCCCAGGGCTCTATTCATACCTCAAGTGACTGAGACAAGACTTTCTGGGTGTGGGGGGCAGCTATCCATCTTTCTGCTGCACGATCCTGCTAAGGTGGGGAGCCTTGGCTAGAAAGGCATCTGCTCTGAAACAGCAGCTGGCAGGACATTGTCTGAGGGGCTTCATCTGAGAAGCCCTAGTGAACTCACAGCAAGGATGTAACACACCACTGAGCACCCCATGGAGTGCCCTGCCCAGTGTATACGCTCTGCTGGAGCCTACCAGAACTACCTCGCGCTCTATCTTTTCCCACTTAAAGCTACGTCTGGATTTTCATCCCCTCCGGGACAGCCCGGGACAGGGCATCAGGAGATGGCAAATTTAGTTCCCTAGATTTCAAACTGCTTTTAAAGGTCTATGCCAATCCCATGCAGCCTGCCATGAAATCCCAGGGCCCAGCAAGAACTTATTTTGTCCCTCCATGTCCTAACCAGGATGAAGAGCCTTGCTCCACTATCAACCGGTCCCCACAATGAGCAATCCGGTTTGAGAAGCACTTGCAGCAGAAGAACAGAGTTACTGCAGGAGTAGCCAGAGTGCAGCCCTCCCCACCATGCAGTGCACCCTTTGCCCGTGATGGCACAGTCAGCCCTGTTACCACTTCCCACAGTGGCCAGCACCTGACCAGGGGGGCAGTGAGACCACCGTTAAGAGGCTCAGAACTATTTCTAGCCAAGAGAAGAAGTCTGATGTCATCTTATAAAACATACAGTCTCTCTCGTCACCTCTTATCCACCATACAGACCTCTGGTGCCACTGCAGAGTCCCAGAGTAGAGGATAAAAGTGCACCTTCCATCTGCAGGAGCTGTGGGGTCAGACATTCCCCGTTCTCCTGGGGTCTTTCCCTGCTAGCAAACAGCAGACCTCCACGTGCCTCTCTAGATGTCTTATTGCAGACTTAAAACTGACTAGAATCTCTCCAGAAGAGCAATGCTGGAAGGCACTGACTATCTCAGCATTCTGGTCCTGTGGACTCAGAAGGCCTGGCCTGGAAGACCACAACCATCTGAAGTCCAGGAAGCCTCCCGACCCCTGCAGACCACACAGATCCTGTGCCAGCACTAACTGGTCATCAGGGCTGCCCTCAAGAAAAGAGGCACTTCCTCCTCACCCTGCCTGGCCTCTGTCTGCTCTGGGCTCCTTCCCCAAACTTTTACTCTAGAGGCAGAAGATACATCTATTTAAATCAGCTTGTCAAAGCAGCAAGGAAGTGGTCTGGAATGGGAGTGACCAGGAGCCACGAGGCTGCCCACTTCCTTCTGAAAGCCAACGCTTCATTCCTTCCACGCTGACCAGTTGCCTCTCTCTACAGCAAACCGGGCAGCCTGCTTTCCCTTACCGTGAAGTCCCTCTTGATGGCAAAGTTTTCGGGCTTGACATCACAGAGGTGGAGGCGGTGGGAGAAATCACTGTCGAAATGGCTCACCATATCCAGGAAGCTGAGAGCGATGTGGCTAATAGCTTCCGCCTGGCCAGCATCACCCAGCGGGAAGAGAGCCCTGTGGTGAGGGCTACCGGCAGCCAAGTACTCCACTGCGTAAAAGTGGCCACAGGAACCCAGGACCGGTAGGATGTGACGGCTTAGATCTGGCAGCAGGCTGAAGTACACATATTCCTCTTGCTGGAGCAGCGACCACGCACTGGCCAGCTGTTGCCGCCAGCGAGGACCCTGCCTGGCGGGCCACAGAGGAACTATGCTGTTGTTGGGCAGCTCCAAACCTAGCGTGTTCTTCACTTCACCAGCCACCATCAGGAGCAGCTCAGCGTCAGGGATGCCCGGAGCACCTGGCCCCGTTTCCTCCCCCAGCAGATTGAGGGGTGGGAAGCTGGAGAAAGCCTCCCTCTTGGATTTGAGGACCACAGTTCGGCCTCTCCACTGGGCCTGCAGCACCTTCTTGCCACGCTCGTAGTACAGGCAGCGTTGGTACAGCAGTTCCCCGGCCACGCACAGGTCCTCGCACAGCGCACCCGTGAGCCAGCCGCCACGGTAGTCCTGGCACTGGAACAAAGGGAACAGTGGGTCACAACAGAGCAGGGATAAGAGGCAAGGGACAACGCATATTGGCATCCTGTACTCAAAGGCTTTGCCATTAGGTGAGGGGAGAAACTGCCCAGAAGAGAACGCTGGAGGTCCCTGGGCGGTGGGTTCCAGCAACCTCCTGGACCTGTGAGCTCCCCAGCCAAGTCTCTACTAGAAATGCTGATTAGGTATTGCACCCCCACAGAACACGTAGAGACTATTTCATCTGCCGTCACTCCTCTACAACACCATAGTTCGAGTACTTTGCAGTGGGCATCATAAGAAGCACAGAGGTGGTCCAAAGCCTGGGGAGAGATGTACATAGCTACTATACAGACATTGGGCTGTCATAGAGGGGACCAAAACCCTTGGGTTGAGTGCTGGTACCCCGTGAGGATCCAGAATGACTTCCCCGCAACCCTAATTTGGTGACAGTTAGGGAGGCTCTCAGGATGATTATGTCACCCAACAGAGTTGAGGACCTGGCATTCAAAATCACACATCTAGAAATCAAAGGCTCAGATATATCAGAGTGCCCTCCCATAGACAGACACACAGTTAGATATGTCAGCATGCCCTCCCATAGACAGACACACAGTTAGATATGTCAGCATGCCCTCTCCTAGACGGGCGGGCTGTTTCACATTAGTCAGCTCTGAGGCTCCTGAGTGAATTATAAGATGTGTCTGAAAGTCGAGAAAATAAACTTCAGTACTCGGACACAAATATCGTAAAAACCAAAAACTGTCTGGAAGCCACAAGCATTCATGACTCATCTGGCCACGTGTGGTGTCAAGCGAGGCTGAAATGATGAAGCATGCACAGTTCCTGTTTAACTCTGAGACTGTGTACACCCGCCTTAGAATTCCTGATGGCTGCTGCTGCCCCATCTCTGTAGCAGGCAAACGATGTGAGTTTCAAACCTCTGGAACCCCCAGCAGTCGGTAAGAAATTGTGGACATTTATGAACACTGAAGACGAAGTGTCCGAATGCCTGTTAACAAAGAACACACTTGTGCTTCGGTGCCTGACTTGTGAGGCCACTTTAAGACAGTAACTTCACAATCGCCCAAAATCCTGAAGCCTGGAGCAAGGTCTGAACTGCTCCTTCCCACTGGCTTCCTGCTGAGAGGTCCTCCTGCAGTGGGGGCCTTTAGAACTCTCTAGACCGCAGAGACTGAGGCTCACACTAGTCAGACACCAGGTTACGAGTCTTCGTGTACCAGAGTTCCGCAGATAGAAAGTCTGGGATCCAGGACTTGGAGAGGTGGCTCAGCCATTCATCATGTTGTTCTTGCTGAGGACCAGGGTTCAGTCTCTAGAACCCACATAGTGCCTCACAACCATCTTCAGTTCTGGGCGGTCTGACACCCACTTCTGACTCATCAGGCACACATGGGCTGTGCACACATAAATGTAGTCACAGCTCAAATACATTAAATAAAATAAATAAAAATTTAAAACAGAAAAAAGGTGCTGGACTTGATCTCGCAGCTGCAGAATGGCACCGTATTCCCAGAGTTTTGGTGGAGGTGGTAATGGAGCTAGAGGTGATGGTGGAGGAGGATGTGGTGGTGGTGGAGGTGGTGGAGGTGGTGGTGGTGGTGAAGGTGGAGGTGGTGGTAGTGGACCTGGAGATGGTGGTGGAGGAGGAGGTGATGGTGGTGGTGGTGGTTGTAAGAGTCTGCACTTTCCAATGGATACCCACACCCGGTTCAGGCTGTGCGCTTTCCCGAACTCGAGCCCACGAGAATGGACGATTGTCCTGAGGGTTGAAAAAGAGACACACACAAAAGAGACCTTTGCTCATTTACCAGAGTAAATGGCAACTTTATTAAACTCAAGTCGGGTATTTATACCAGTGGGCTAGAAGGATCGAAAATGCAAAGCCTCCTCCCATCCAGGAGCAGGAGGAGAAGATTAAAGTCTTCCGGGCGCCTGGAGCAGGATCAGCTGGGGAGCCAGGCTATGGGCCTACTGCTAAAGCCTTGAAGACAAGTAGAATCACCATAACAAAGAGAACCAGGTTCTTGCTAAGTTATCCCCTCAAGCCAGAGCTAGTGCAGAGTCTCCAGGGGGCCGGAGGTCACACGGCCCTGCGAATCTGCCAGGAGAAGGGAAAAACCTTGGCAGCTACAGGTGGTGGTAGCTGTGGAGTGATATGCCTGTGCATATGGAGGCCAGAGGTCAACTGTGGGTTTTTTCTGGTTTTTTGTTTTGTTTTGGTTTGGTTTTTTTGAGGCAGGATCTCTCAGCGAACTGGAACTCACTATTTTGGCTACACCCACTGGCCAGTGACAACTAGGATCTGCCTGCCTTTGCCCACCCCAGTGCTGGAGTCACAGGGCATGCCCCCATGCCTGGCTTTCAGTGAGCATACACACTGAGGTCCCCATGCTTGCACAAGCACTTGGCTCACTGACACATTCCCAAGCCCCTTGGACTGGAGTTTTAGGTCTGGAAAACCAACAGCCATAATGCAATTGTATACAGGTACTCAGATAAAGTTGTTTAAAACGATCTTTCTCATGTGCTGTGTGTTCTTGGGTCTTAACTTCATATAGAAGAGATGCTGTTCATGGGCCTTAACTCTGGGACCTCTTTCCAAGGCATGGGGGCAGGGAGTGGGCATGGGAATGTCAGAAACCTTTGGGTCATTCTCTCTGCTTTTGTGCTCTGGTAAGGAACAGCCAGTCAGGCTTCTAGAGATCTTCCCTCATGGTCTTAGGAAGGTGCTGGGACAACCAGAGTGAGAAAATGTGGTCATACAACAGTGTGTGTGTACACGTGCACATGCGCACATGTGTGTGTGTGTGTGCGAGCACGTGCATGTGTGAGTGCATGCATGTGTGTGTGCAGTGTGTTGTGCGTGTGTGTGCGTGCGCACATGTGTGTGTGCACGTGTGTGTATGCGTGTGTTTCCCCCACTTTATCTGGTATTTATAGTCTCAAATCCCTATAATGAACCAGATAAGAAAATGCAATAGTTTCTTGAGTCCTTTCAAATTAAACAAGAGAAGCTGTGTGATACCCAAACGTGCCTTGGATCAGTTCCACAAGCATTTCTCTGATGTTACTGCATTAGTAATTTAATTGAAAAATGCTCTTGTGTGAAGTACGTGGCAGAATTGATAGAGTGGGGTGTGTGGTAAAGGAGAAGACCTGAGCTGGGCACTGCACAATCTCACAGTGCTGCAAAGGGGCAGAGGAACCAGTCCCTGGGGCAACCTAATGCCCTGGAGACAAGGTCACAGGCAACGGTCCTGGCTACCAGGACTCTCCCTCTTCCCCTCCAAACTGTGGCTATCATTGCCACAAACCAGAGTTACACCTGCAGATTCTGGAGCCAACGAGTCCCATGAAGATTGACCTGAAACAAGGCCTTGAAGCTTTGTCCCCCACCTTGACACAGTCAAATTAGCAAAGACACCTTTTGGAATTAACCCATTTGTGAGTGAGGTCTCATGGGGCCACCTTCCCACCACAGCTCCCAGACTCAGCTCACAGCAGAAATGACAAGTTTCAAGACTCCTGAGCAATGGCAGAGTGTGCACAGCGTGGACAGGAAGGGAACACAGCAGTTTTGGCTCTGCCCCTCACAGGCTGGGCAGCTTGTTTCTAAGCATGTGCAATGAGGACAATGTCCAGGGTCGCAGGATGTCACAAGGTCCAACAGTCAGAAGCACCATCCCTAGCACTGTGGCCCTGGGCCTTACACGCTCCACTCTCCAGCCTCCCAGAGCTGATTACGAGAGAGCAGGGTCAGGGCTTTCTCTTGCAGGACAAGGACCGGCCTCAGCACTAGCAATGAAGGGACCTTGCTCAGCAGGCCATGAAGCAGAGGGCCGTTCTGTCACAGTCCAAGTTTTGACGAAGCACCAAGCGAAAAGGTACTTCAGAGTGAAGAGCAGTTAAAGCACCTGCCTGGGGCCAGACTGGAATAGTCTATCTAATGTACTATCCCAGGGCTTGGAAGATGACTTGTGGGTAAAGTGTTGTTGCCCAGCCATGAGGACCCGAGTTTACATCCCCATTAGGTGTGTTGGCACTCATCTGTAACCCCGGGGCTTCTATGGTAAGAAGGAGGCAGAAGCAGGAGAATCTCGGATATATATGGTGGTAAACAATAAAGAGACCCTGTTTCAAACAAGGTGGAAAGTGGAGGCCAACACCCAAGACTGCACTCTCATTTCCACGCATGCTCTGTAGGATGTACACATACTCATGCACATGCTCACAATGCACATATACATACGTACACATGCACATACATATACATGCACACATATACACGTGCATACATTCATAAACACACATGCACATGCATGCACATGCACTCATATACACATGCATACACATATACACACATGCACACACATACATGCACACATTCATAAATGCACATACACATGCACACACATACATGCACACACTCATACACTTACACACACATACATACACACTCATCACACACACACACATAAGAAAGTCTTAAAAAATGCTATTTCAAATTTGGCATAGTGATCATAGCACTGGGGAAACTGGAACAGAAGGATTGCCACAAGTTTGAGGCTAGCCTGGGGTCTATAGTGAGACAGGCTCACACCAACTACACTGCCAGAAAAGTCATTTTCCTGTCTGCATCTCACCTTCTTCTTCATCTGTTTTAAACCTTCTTCTATCAAACTCTTAGAAAACTTCCTCGATCCTGCTCTCTGTCTCTGTCTCTGTCTCTGTCTCTCTCTGTCTCTCTCTGTCTCTGTCTCTCTCTCTGTCTCTCTCTCTCTCTCTGTGTCTCTCTCTGTCTCTCTCTCTGTCTCTCTCTCTCTGTCTTTCCAGCTCTCACTAAACCACCATGTAAGTGCTGTCTGTGTCGTGCCTACCAGCCTATTGCTTTATATACACATCTGCTTCCACAATAAAATAACATAAAAACTTTTGAAATGTTCAAGAAATTCACCCCAGCAAATTTGGAAGGCAATTTCCAAACAGGAGTCAGAAAATACTTCGAACGACGGTGTCGTTTCTGAGTCTGTAACAGCCTAAGGGCCTGCTGCTTTCTGGCTTGCTGAGAAGTCCAGTATCAGAAAGGGCAGGATGTGAAGTGGGGTGACCAAAGGCCCCTAGACCTGCCAGCTACTACAACATCTCAATGTCCAGGAAAGAGAAATTTACATTAGAATGAGCACTGGGAAGCATACATAAGTGCATTTACTGCAGAGTGGCCATTGTAACTTTGTGTCTGATGTACACAGCTCATTTATTGCAGAGCAGCTTCTGTAACTTTGTGTCTGATGCATGCTTTGTTTCTTAGCTCCCACCTGACATCTATACATGGAGAACTCTTTTGCCTGTGGTTGGCTAATTACCAGAGCTAAACTACACTCTCTGGAGCTTGACATGTCTGTGTCTACTGGATACAGAGAAAGATAGTCCAGCAAATCAGAAACCAATAAACTCAATGTACATAACGCAAGTTTAAAGGGGAATTTGGAAACTTTCATTGTGTGAGTGCTAATGGTTGGGTTATTTTTTAGCAGCATATCCCATTGTTTCAATAAAAGTTGTTTAAGTCTGTAATAAAAATTGGACTATTTCTCTCCCTCCCCATTTCTAAGATTACAAGCATTGTATCACCATGCCTGTCTGGCTTTTTACATGAGTTCTGTTGCCAGAACTCAGAACCTCATATTTGCAAGGAAAGTGCTTTACCAGTGAGCAATGTCCCTAGCACCCTGTCTCCTTGGCTGGCAGAGTTCTATAGTAACAAAATTCACAGCAAATCTGTGCTTCTTGTGGGCATACACAAACACACACCATCACATCCTTCCCCTCCAACCCCTCCCACGTCCCCTTCCCAAATGTATAACCTCTTCTTTATGTAGCCTATACACTATAGTATACATAGTATTTATGTAACACACATGGATATACAACTTATGGAGTACATTTGGCATTGTTTGTATGTACATGACCAGGGCTGACCACTTGAGATCGGACCACCTACGAGATTGATAAGCCGCACTAAGGAAGGAAGGAAGGAAGGAAGGAAGGAAGGAAGGAAGGAAGGAAGGAAGGAAGGAAGGAAGAATCCTTAATGTAGGCAGCAGTACTAAATCTTGTCTCCCCATACCAACTAACTTGTCTCCCCATACCAACAATCTATGGGGAGATTGTTGAGGCTTTGGAAGCAGCAGCTATGGAGGGTGAGGAATCCCCTAAGCTGCTTCTCACAGTTTGCAGCATAGGGGGCAGCATAGGTTTACCATCTTGGGGGCTCTATTGTCCAAGGCACAGAGTAGCGTCTTAGATCCTCAACGTATTAATTTTAATCAAGCAGGACAGTGTTATGTTGCCTTCCTGGCTTTTTTTTTCTCCACCTGCAAAATGGGGGGTTCTAAAAGCAAATACTTCCTAGAGTTTGTAGAGATGATGCAGTAATATGGCTTGTACTGTTGATCATGTTGCTGGTCAAAGTAAACACAGTCACTGGCTGTGAACATCCCCACTCTCATTTCTGCTCTGTAAGGTGCTCGCCTGCAGAATCTAGGGGTGTTGGTGATTATGCCCCCCAGCCACTCTTCAATCCCCCAGAGCTTCAACAGACAGCTCTCTGAAGAACTAAGGCTTTAACATTCTCACAATCAACCCAAAGGGAGTGTCCTTTCCTCAATTGCAGCAGAGCTGAAAGGCCACACAAAGGGAGCAGAGAAGACCCAGGGACCCAGGGCTTGAAGCTTCCAAAACAAGCCAAGCTGACTTTCCAAGGAACTCTTGCCTTTGTGAGTGTTGGAGATCCTAGGGGAACTTGCGGACCCTCACCCATCCACTAGTCAGCCTTTTAACACCTAGTTGCTTTATTCTACAGGTATGCTTCCCCTACCAGTTAGCAATGCCACCTTCCACTTGGGGGCTGAGAACACAGACTGCAGGCATGGGAGACTCATCAGGACTCCGGGCTTTGCCAGAGAGAACCTCTCTTTGGCTCTAATGTCTTGTGTGTTCTGGGTACTCGGAGTGAAAGCTAATGAGAGTCTGGAGGCCAGTCAGAAAAATAACAACTGGTTTTATTATGTAGGATGAAAGCCAGGCAAAATGCAAAGTGTTGGGGGAGCCAAACACAGAGGCCCGATTCAGATGCAGTCCTCAGAAGCCACAGTGCCAGCCTCTGCTTGGCAGCTGCCTGGCATTTTAGTCTGTCCTAATTTAGGGTCTTAAGTAAAAGTTGAGTCCGAGTTTCTCAGTTTTGCCCCAGCAAATTCATAACAAAGGCATCAAGAAAGGAGACGTGAGGGTAAAAAAAAAAGTCATTTGCTATATGAAGAACTCACACAAGTCATCCATAATGCTGCCCTCCCCAGAGGTTCACCTGTGTGAATTCCCGCAAACTGGGGAAATAGCTTTGGCAAGAGTTAAGATCGAGAGTTGTCAAAGACAGGCTCAATCTTTTCGGCAGTCTGTCAGACTAAAAATGATCCCACATGGCTGCATCAAAGACAAATTGGTAAAGCTCCTAAACCAAATTGGTTTTAATTTACAGTCTGGAATGCTGGGAAAATTGTGACTACCAATTACTTAAATCCTATCAGTCAGTTTAACTTCCCTTAGGCCTTTCTCAGCATGACCAAAGCTAAATAAATAAATAAATAAATAACGGTCTTTGATTCCTATTTTAATCTAAAAGGTTATATTAAGTTTGTAAACGGGACCTGGGTCTTAGCCAAACTATTAAATTTTGTTGTCTTAGTCAGCCGGCGTCACCAAAACAGCAGAGGAAGATCTCTACAGCAAAGGGATTTTTAGATGGTTACCGCGAAAATCAATGAGATCTTGCAACTTAAAACCTGATAAAACTTCAATTAAGCTGTGAGCCATGGACAGAAAGTCCATGTTCCTGTCAAGGAAGCAGGCTAACAGGGTGACAGGAGCATCCTTTAGTTCAGAAACATTCTTTGGTTGCTTAATTTTTCCAATCTCCTTTGAAAGAGTCTTAGAAAAAAAGGACTTAATACCCTTCGAAACTCCCACAATCTGAAAACAAAACCAAACCAAAAACATCTTTATAAGCAAGTGTGCTGAAAAGCCCCTAAGCATTTCTTCGAGATTTCAAACCAAATAAACACGTGGTCACTATTTTCAGACGTGAACAATCACTGGTAAGAAGCAAGTACAGACTCCTTTCTCCTCCTTCCTAAAGGTCTGTCAGGGCTGCCTGTGCTCCAGTCTCCCTTAAGCATGACTTCCCAAGCAGAATCCGGGCGGGGTGCTGGTTGGGAGGGCGGGGGTGAGCATTTTACTTCAGGGAGGAAGGCCCAGGCATTCAGCAGTCCACTTATGCGATGTTTCTTTCTGTCCACAACTGCCGGGCCAGGTTAAGGAGCAGGTTGGCAAGAAAATTCTCTGACCCTCACGCTTTAGGGGATCATGATAAAACAGGGGACGCTGGTTACCTGGCTGCTCAGATTCTGCGTCCATTCCTCAGAACCCGAAGAACCTGTCTTTTTGTCACCGGGAGAAGGAGTCCGAACAGTAATCACGGGGTTTGATCAGATGGGGGTGATCCAGCAGCCCAAGTGGGAACACTGAAGGGCGGTGGCCTAGCGCACGAGGTAGCCCAGGAAGAAGGCGTATCCTCCAAACCTGGCCACCTGGACTGGATGTAGGCACCAGAGACCAGGAATTGCCGGCAAACTTTCTTGAGGAGCTGAGGCTCAGGATGTCCTGCCGGAATATTGTCTCGGGATTCAAAACTAATCTGGATCCCCACAGCGGACCCCTAGTCCTTTGCCTAGGTATTTCATGCACGCACAGGGACCTCCACTCGCCTTGGCGGGTGTCCCCTGATTAGCCCATCCCCCGGTTGGGTTGGTCACTACGATACTGCAGCATCACAGGTGACGCGGTGACCAAGGACCCAGGGAAGGTGGCTGGGAACCCAACCCGGACGCGCGACAGTGGGCAATGCGGCGGCGGGACCTACCAGCGCGGCCAGGATGCGCCGGCTCTTCTCGTCGGTGCAGCGCTCCGAGAGGACGCTCGGGTGCGCGCGGAGCAGCAGCGCGGCCGCCAGCACCCAGCCGGCGGTCC